AGTTCTGCCTTAGGAGACTGCTCCAAAATTCCTGAATCTCCCATCGACTCCGAAGCCAATACAGGTAAAGGTTCCTTGAATTCCTCCTTGTATTGGTCTTTACAATTGTAAGTTGTACAAGTTATCCTCTGCCCGTTCCTCTCTTGTTGATGCCCCTCAAACTGAGATTTCCCAATTTCCATTTCAGGCAGCAATTCCACCCTTGAAGATTGCTCCAAAGACTTTGTAGGTCTAACATCTCCCAGAGATTCAGAGACCACTGAATATGAAACTTCCTTAACCTTCTTCTGTTGCTGCTTTTCTTTGGAATTGTATGCTGCACAAGTTGTCTTCTGCTCCTCAACCTGGACTTGTTGAGGCCTCTCACACAAAGATTCGCCAGTTTTCATAAATATAGGCTCTTCAAACTGTAATTCTACATTCTTTTCTTCCAAAGCTTTAAACTTAGTAGATGGCGATGCACATACCCCCAGGACCGAAGTATAAAAATCTTTTAATTGAGAAACAGTATTAAGTCTATAACATGTCCCCAGGTAGTTCACCACCATTCCAGTCAGAACATCCCATCTGAATAAAATTTTTCTCTTTTCAAGTTCATTTGCTAGAAAAGCAAACTCCTTTCTTCTTCTTAAAATTTTAGATGGGATCTCCTTGAAAATTATAACATCTTGTGAAGCAATTTGAAATCTCTTCTTATAATAGGCTTGCACAATTTCATTGCGTAAAGATCTTTTACCAAAGTAAATTACCACATCTCTTGGCAGATTCTTCTGTGCTGCCACCACAGAGTTAACCCTAAATAATTTTTCAATTTCACTAAGTATTCCCTCTTTTTCTTTATTCAAAATCAATGCAAAGTCCTTTGCAACCATCTCTTTCAGATCTCCTTGCAAAGACTCTTCCAGGCCCCTAATTCTTAAGGCATATTCCATTTGTCCATATTGAAGCATAAGAATCTCATTTTCCATTTCTTTTTCCATACTTTCAATTTTCCCCTCCATTATGTCCACTTTTTCATCTACCTCTTCCACATGGGAGTTCACCTTTTCAAGAACAGAAGCAACTCCTTCTAAAGCCAAAACAAAATCTTGTCTCAAGATCTTATTATTTTCCTCTAAAATCTTTTTCATTTCTGCCCTAATTTGAATTATAACATCTCCCATCATGTCTTGCAAATCCTTCATAGTTATTAGCTGACCCCCAGAAGAGGGTGAAACTGTTGATTTAGAAGCTGTAGAAATCCCTGGACGCTTTGGAGCCATCTTAAAGAAAAACCTTTAGTCCTTCTTAAAAAATTATAAAAATTCCTTCAAAAATCATAACTCCCTCCAAAGAAGGTCATTATAATAAAAAGAAAAAAGGGAAAAAAAAGAAGAGAAAAGGAATTAAAAAAAAAGCTTTACTCCTTCTTAAAAATTGCAAAAATTAAACAGAAAAAAGTCCTTCAAAAAAGGGTCATTACAATAAAAAGAAGGGAGTTCAAAGAAAAAAAAAAGGAGAAGAAAAAAAAAATAATTAATAATACTCCATATGCCATTCTATATGGGAGAAAGCCATCAGTGGCACATTTGAGAATTTTTGGAAGTACTGCATGGGTACATATTCCGAAAGCAATCAGAAGAAAGGGACAGCAAAAGGCAAGAAAGCTCAGGTTTGTGGGCTATGAGCCAGGGTCAGTGGCTCATAGCCCACAAACCTGATGGAAGTAGCGATGGAAGTGAAAGAATTATAATTTCAAGGTTTGCTAATTTTGCAGAACAAAATTGGGACAGAATTAATGCAAATTCTGAGTATTTCTCACTTAATGACGGTGATCTATTTAATGACAACAACTCATCTAATGATGGAAAAATGATTATTGAAGATGTCAATATTCAGGGAGGAGAGGCTGAACAAGACATGAAGCCAGATAGACTTGAGACACAGGAGCAGTTAATACCACGTAGGTCAGAGCGATGTAATACAGGAATTCCACCTGACAGGTATTCTGCCAGCAAGGTAAAGGTTTGCAATGTGTAGTATGAGCCAAGAAGTTATAAAGAAGTGTTGGCATTACCAAAAGCTGAACAAGAAAGATGGAAGGAGGCCATAGATAAAGAGATGAAATCCATGGGAGACCACGAAGTATTTAAATCAGTGACTTTGCCACAGGGAACCAAAGCTGTGGGTTGTAAGTGGGTATATAAGAAAAAGGTATTGCCAAATAATGATGTACAGTTGTTGCAAGATTTAAATATTAATGTAAAAGACTCTGTAAAGATATTTGAAGACAATGCTGCCTGTATAAAAATGGCAACCAGATTGTTGGGGGCAATGTAAATATATATATACATTGCTTACTGGTGTACACCGCTTAGAGAGTGCTTGCACTTAAAGCGGTATATAAGTCTCATAAATAAATAAATAAATAAATAATAAACTGGTGACGGTGAAGAACAGAAATAAACATGTAGACATTAAGTATTGTAATGTCAGGGAAGCTGTAAAAGGAAAATTGATTAATTTACATCATTGTTCTTCTGAGGATAATTTGGCAGACATGATGACTAAACCATTGGGTAGTGTTCACTATGGAGAATGTGTTAAGTCAATAGGTCTGATGTCTCTTCCTGTCATGAAGGGAGGAGTGTTGGAATATTCATGAGCAGGAAGTGTCATGTGGTAACTCAGTCAGCCAATGTGAAGAAAGTGCTACTGAGTCTGTGCAAAAAGGTATTGAGTTAGGAGCTGGATTTCCAATCTCTGGTTTGTCTCTGTATCTCTCTGTAAGAAGTCTTCCATTGAGCTATTTTGCTGTAAAGAAAAATGTATGGTATTGTAAATATTTTGATATAAATATAAATAAGTTATTTTGAATCCGCTAAATGCAGTCAACTGTGAGAGCTTCTGATTTATTTTTTCACCAATAGAGAAATTAAAATTCTCTAACAGAAACCCAGTTGGTCACATACTTTTGTGACCATCTAACATCATTACAATTACCAAACCCTCCATTGGTCACATACTTTTGTGACCCTCTAACAATCATTACAATTACCAAACCCTCCAATTATTAGATCAAAAACCCCTTTTGATCCTGTCTTATCTCCCCTCCCTTTTCTGTGGCATGATTTCTAACATCCTGCTAATTAAGGGTATAGCTTATCTACAAGGTGAACTGTTACCCAAACTGGATAATTGCAACAATAAAAGATTTATGTCTTCCCTTGTTTATCTATAAAAGTGCCTGCTTTTCATCTAGAACAGTGGTTCTCAACCTGTGGGTTGCAAACCTTTTGTGGGTCAAACGATCCTTTCACAGGGGTCGCCAACCCCCCTCCCTGTTATCCGGACTACACTGGGGTGGGAGCTTCTCGCCGACCGCAGGAGGGCAGGTGGGGTGACTCTGTCCTGAAGTCGCACCAATTCAAAGGTGGGATATTGGGGGGGGCTCCTGTCCCGTCCTGTCGCAGCCCTCGAGTCTATCTGCCTGAGCAGCCTTCGGTAGCTCACCGCTCCCGCAGGCTTTTGGAAGCAATCGCGATGCCCTCCAGCTGATCCGGGGCCCTGTCAGAACCCGCCTCCTCTGGCTTCTTCCCCCACAGCAGCGACACCCGCTACTTCGCCTCGCCGCTTCCCCTCACACTGGGCTGAGAGGGCGGCGGGGCTGTGCGGAGCAAGCGAGGGAGCCTCCTTCCCGCCGAGCTTGGTGAGCCAGTCCCGCCCTTTTCGCTCCTCCGGTGATGATTCTCCCTTTAAATGCCACTGGGGGAGAGGGACCAACCCCCGCCCCCACCTTTATTGCCACCGACTGAAGAAAGCGGCAGGTGAGAGCTGCCACTCGCCCAGGGAAGCCAGCGCGCTTAAGAGACAGGTGGGTCACCCACTCGCTTACTTGCACCAGCCGGCCGGCCGGCCGGCCAACCTGCTCGCCCTTGCTTTACTTGGCAGCTAGAGAGGCTTGGGGCTTTCGTGGACTTCCAACCTTTGTAGGCTGGCTGGGCCGCCCAAGCCTCCTGGACTGCTCGTACCCAGTCAATAACCTCCACAACAGAGGATCAGAAATGGTCAAAAGTTCTGCACCTCCAAATCAATACGCGATCAGACAGAGAGGGAGGGAGGGAGGAAGAGAGGGAGAGAAAGAGAGAGAAAGAGAGAGGGAGAGAAAGAGAGGGAGAAAGATAGGGAGAAAGAAAGAGGGAGAAAGAGAAAAAGGGAGAGGGAGAGAGGGAGAGAAAGGGAAAGAGAAAGAGAGGAGAGAAAAATAGAGGGAGAGAGAGGGAGAAAGAGGGAGAGAGAGAGAAAAGGAGAGAGAAAAAAAGAATGAGAGAAAGAGGGAGAGAGAAATAAAGAGGGAGAGAGAGATTAAATTAGTAACATGGTTCTTAAATGAATCTGGTTTTCCCACTAACTTTGCTAGTCAAAAGTTGCAAAAGGCATCACATGACCCTGGAAAATGTGTTTGTGTATGTGTGTGTGTTGTAGGGCAAGGGGCAAAGAGAAAATGTCAGGTCTCCCTTCAGAGCCATAGGTGGAGCAGCTGAAGGTGTGATTCAGCACCCATGCTTCAAGACAAAATTTCATTTATTTGTAATTAGAAATAAATATTTCACAATATATAATTACATATTGTTTTTGTGATTAATCACTATGCTTTAATTATGTTCAATTTGTAACAATGAAAATACATCCTGCATATCAGATATTTACATTATGATTCATAACAGTAGCAAAATTACAGTTATGAAGTAGCAATGAAAATAATTTTATGGTTGGGGGTCACCACAACATGAGGAACTGTATTAAAGGGTTGCGGCATTAGGAAGGTTGAGAACCACTGGGTTAGACTCTTGGCTAGTGGAAGTGGAGGGTTTCTCTTCCTGTACCGAAGTGAGATTGGCAGTGGTACAGGCCTTCATAAGAAGAGATCTGAAAAGAGAAGGGTCAAAAAGACCCAAAGTTGACACTTGTTCAGGCGCTGCCTCCTCATCCTCTGACATGGGCGTGTCGGCTATCTCCAGGTCCACTGACCCCTCTTCGCCTAGATGGAAGGAAGTCTCAGAGATGCCGGGGACTGTGGCACGTCGCACTTGAGAAGGAGGTATGGACGGAGATGGTGGTGGTTGCAAGGGTCCCTGTTGACTCCTAGAGGATGACATAAATTGCATAAATGCATGGTGCATGAATGCCTGGAATTGTTTTTCTGACCACATATCCCATTGTTCCATAGAACTAACCCCAACCTCTGTTGGGGCATATGTGGCCTCAGGATCCTGCTGTATGGAGGAAGATGAGGAGCGAGGGAGACCAACCTGTTCAGTTCCCCCCTGAGGAGACCATGCCCGAGGGGCATCATGGGAAGGCGCAAATGGAGGCTCAAATGGAGAAGTGTCCAATGGAACGGGGGGAACCACTTCAGCTTCACTGGACATGAGCCTTTAGGCTTTGGAGAATTCCCTCTCCAGCGCCTGATGTCTCCTCGAGGCCTCTCGCTCGGCTGCCTTGGAGGTCTGTTTGGTGGATAAGTGTTTTGTCTTGACTTTTTTCTTTCCCCCGCATCCAAATCAGTTGATCTGCGCTTTGTTTATGCGGGGGGAACACCAGAGCCTTGTGATGCCTGGGGCGAGGAACTGTCTGCCATTGCAGTACTGTCTGTAGTGCAGTACTGCAGGCCACTTTAGCTGACTGTGTTCAGCAGGTCAGCGGTTCAAATCTCACCAGCTCAAGGTTGACTCAGCCTTCCATCCTTCCGGGGTAGGTAAAATGAGGACCCAGATTGTTGGGGGCAATGTAAATATATATATACATTGCTTACTGGTGTACACCACTTAGAGAGTGCTTGCACTTAAAGTGGTATATAAGTCTCATAAATAAAATAAATTGCAGTCTAGATAATCCGGGTAGGAGATATCCAGAAGTGGGGGGAACCCAAACATGCAGATCAAGTTGTCTGAGATGGAAAACCAATCCTCGCTCTGAACAACAGCAATGGCAAAAGATAGCCAGAACTGCCTGTCCAGGCCTTGTGGCACAGTGCCACAGACTAATTGGAACAGGTGGTTCTGAAATAAAATTCCCCTTCACTCAACTCACACAGGTATGAAGGATATGTAACCTGATCCTCAATGAGTAGTTAGAACAATAAAACAAATACAATGAGGCGATCACAGCTGATTCTCCTGATAACACTCCAAATTATCCTGAATTGGCGTTGAAATGTTCCCCCCCGGTACAGGCCTGACACAGCAGGCCAAGGCAATAATAAAGCAGGCCCAAATAGAGCTCAGGGGAACACGAGGTCCCTACAAAATGGCGGCCGCGCCTAATAACACTCTCAAAATGGCGGCCACGTCCTGAGCACGTGGTCAAAATGGCGGCCACCCATTCAGTGCTGCCTAAAAATGGCGACCACGCCAAAAATGGGGAAGAGAAGGTAATCAAGCCCCCTGCTAGGTAGAAGCTTTACGAATCAGCCAAGCTAACTAAAGCATTCTTCCCCCTGTTTGCAAAAGGCACTTGCTATTGGTCGTGCAGCCTCCGCTGCGATCTGAACTCTCTGCTGCCGAGAGAAGCCTCGTGCCGATGAAGCTTGAAAAGGGAAGCCTCCGATCTGCCTGAACTCTGAAAAGACTCCGTTTGCCGCAAGCCAGCTGGTTGGCTGGTCTGCGCTCCCGCTGATCAGCTCGAACGGGGCTGAAAGCCCCACCTGAAATCGGCCTGCAGCCTTCTCCACAGGAGCCTGTTAGGCTTGAAGCCAAAAGGTCTGAGTAAAATTCCTATGCCAAATTTAGCCAATTTGAGTCCAAATTGAAATAAGGAAAAAAACACTACAATTTAGAGACTGCAGAATGAATTAAATTCAATTAGATAATCAATTAACCTAGTCTAACTAAGGAGCCAAAATATTTGCGCCCTACTGAGCTGAGACTAAGTCAAAAACTGGGAAGACACACCCAGAGGGAGGCGTGGCTAAAGTTCTGACTTAATCTCATCTGAGCAGGAAGGCTGAGATTACCCATCAGTGGATTCTACATTCATCATGCTGGAGAAAACTTTGGCAGTGAGGAAGATCTAGCTGAGAGGTAAGAGAGGAAGGAGAAACACTAGCCCAGGCCACTGAAGGAAAGGAAATGCAACCTAAAGGTAAGCGGGTTGAGATTAGAGAGGATAATGACAATGGGAAAAATGAAGGGAAACATGATGAGAATAGACCTAAAGAAATTAAAGAGGCTAGACCAACATGATCGGTAGTGGAAAAAGAAAAAGATTTACAATCTCTAGGCCGACAATAATAACCAGATCCAAATATAGATAAGGAGGGGAAAAAAGGTGTTGAACCCATATCCATCAGTGTTAATGGTCTCAACTCTCCAATAAAAATTAAAAGTTTTTAAATAAACTCAATAAGATGAACTTAGATATAATTATGCTATAGGAAATTCATATAAAAAAACAATATCAATATTTATTAAATTGCCCTAAATTGGGAAACATGTTTGTGGCACTTTCACAATACAAGAAAGGAGGAGTTGTAGCATATATTAAACAGGAAATTTTGGTGAAGCAAATTTATAAAGACGAAGAGGGTAGAATTTTAATGGTGGAAATAATTTTGAATAAAATAAAAATTCTCCTTGTGGGAATTTATGCCCCGAATGAGGGGCAGAAACAATTCTATAAAAAACTACATAACATTATTAATCAATTGGAATATGACAACATTTATATAATGGGAGACTATAATGCAATTGTGAATAGACACCTAGACTATAAATGTGGAAAGAGTAGAAAAAGAACCAGAGGAACAATACCTGATACATTCCTAAAAATGGTAGATGAGCTTAATATTCAGGATTCTTGGAGAGAGAAGAATTTAGAGAAAAAACAGTTTACATTCTACTCTGGACGTCATCAATCATGGTCCAGAATTGATATGGTGTGGATATCAGCAGACTTAAATTTAGAGGTAGAGAATATTGTAATTGATAAGAACTCCTGGGCTGACCATAATCCAATTAGAATTAAATGGAAAGGGCAAAAAAGAATGAGGAGATGGACCTTGAAAAGGGCAATCCTAAAACATAAAGAAATTGAATTGAAGAACAAATGGACCTGATTTTTAAGACAAACAAAAAGGAAGGTACGAACTGCCAAAACTTATGGGATACAGCCAAAGCTTATATGAGAGGCGCTGCAATTTCTTATATGGCCAGGGAAAACAAAATTAAAACACAACGACAAAGATACTTAGAAGAAGAACTAAGTAGAGTTGAGGAAAATTTACAAAAGGAACCACAAAGACGTGATTTGAAACAACAGATAGACCTAATTAAACATGATGAACATCATTGGGAATGAAGAACTAGAACAGCAGATAAAACGTATTCAACAAATTTTTTTTTGAAAATGCCAATAAACCGGGGAGATGGCTGGCCTATAAAATTAAAAAACATAATAATAAACATAGGATTACCAAACTTTGTAATGCAGAAGGTGATATGGTGTACCAGAACGAAGGAAAGAAATTAGTGGCATATGAGTTCTATAAGAACTTATATAAAGATGATGAATGGAGAAATAATGATGACATTGTACAGTATTTACAAACAGCTGATCTACCGAAAGTGCCAGAAGAATTTTAAACTCTGTTGAACAAAGAGATAACACCTTTAGAACTTTTGGAGGCATTTAAGAAACAAAAAAATAACAAAGCACCTGGGCCAGATGGTCTACCTGCAGAAATGTATAAAATCATACAAGAATCTTTAAGCCCAATACTGTTGGAACTATTTAACGAGGTCTTAACAAAATTCCTAAGAAAAACACAGACCTGGCGCATATTAAAAACTATAGACCCATTTCATTATTAAATTCAGACTATAAGATTTTTATGGCCATAATGGCGCAAAGACTTGAAAGATTCCTAGCAGATTTTATACATTCTGATCAAAATGGCTTTTTATCTAAAAGATACATAAGAAACAATGTCAGGATTGTTTTGGATATATTGGAGTATTATGAGGTACACAATGAAAAGCAAATGGGTTTAATTTTCCTCGATGCACAAAAAGCATTTGACAATGTGACATGGGATTTTATGCTCAATCGTTGTATATGGACTTTGGGGAAAATTTCATAAATATGTTTAAATCAGTTTATTTTAATCAGGCAGCAAAAGTAATAATTAATGGAGAAATGACCAATAGCTTTCCAATTCAAAAAGGTACAAGGCAAGGTTGTCCGTTATCACCATTGTTGTTTATACTATCCCTAGAGGTATTAATCAGAGTAATTCAGAAAGATGAACAGATCAAAGGTTTAGAGATCAAGAAAGAAATGTTTAAAACACAAGCTTTTGCAGACGATTTAGTTTTTATAATTGACGAGCCATTACAATCAGGGACAAGATTGATGGAAGTATTGAGTAAATATGGGGAAATAGCAGGTCTAAAGATAAATAAAGAAAAAACTAAAATGCTCCTCAAGAATATGACTAAAATACAGAAAAATGAATTGGTTGACAGAATAGGTATTCAAATTACGAATAAAATAAGATATTTAGGGATACAACTAACTGCTAGATGAGTTACACTCAAGAGAGACAATTATGATAAGCTAATAGAGCAGATTAAAACTGATTTAGATACTTGGACCAACCTACAGCTCTCCTTTATGGGCAGAATAGCTGTAATCAAAGTGAATATGCTACAAAAAATTTTATTTTTGTTCCAATGTATACCCATAAAATTAGATAAGATTTTTTTTCAAAACTTACTATACTCAAATTTATTTGGCAAGGAAAAAAAGCAAGGATTAAATTAAAATTACTGCAAGATTCGAAGGAAAGGGGGGGGACTTGGCCTCCCTGACCTGGAAAAATACTATCAGGCCATACTACTATTATGGGCACGGGATTGGATACTTTTGAAGAACAGGAGATTATTATGTCTGGAAGGTCATGATTTACAAATAGGATGGCATGCTATGCTATGAGACCAGAAATATAAGACACACAAATATTTTCGAAGTCATTATATCAGACGAGCTTTAATTGATGTATGGGTTAAAACCTGGCAACCAAACTATACTCAAGTCCCCGGCTGGATCTCATCGTTAGAAATGCATGTACATCTGTAAGGTTTTCCACTTAACCTCACAATTGCCCCAGCATTACTCAAGAATTTAAAAGAGCCAAAGAAACTCCTGAGCCGAGGTTTCAGCAAGCAAGCAACTTTTATTTTGATCAAAACAGAGTTGGGTGACCCCATCTCTCTTCGTGGCTGGTAGAGAGATGAAGGCAACAACCAGAAAAGATGTCTTCCACCTTTTATACCTTTTCAGAACAAAGAGATCAGGTCTTGGTACCAGGCATAAGATGGCACAAAAAAACAATTCCTAGATGATGACTCATACACAGCAACCCAGGCTCCATCCATAACTCCTTTCCCCCTCCCCTTACTGTGCTCTTTTCATATAAGCAATCACCTATACCTAAAGCATGAAGCCCTTACTTTTCCAATATATATATAAAGCATCTGATCAAGCAATTAACTACAAAATAATGATTACAAAATAACAAAACAATGATTACATGATAACACTATAATGTATCAATATAAAATGGTTACTATATATAAAATAAATGCTAATGTCAAACTTAAACATACTAAAATCATAAGCACAATAAAATCCTTTCACTCCTCCCTTTTTAATATAAAAGCCAAATAGGCTTAGCGACTCTTAAAG